ATCGGAGATGGAGGAAAAGAGGAGGGAGAAGAGGGAGAAGAGATATTTATTAGATTGGTTGGTTCATGAGAAACATGGATGGATGAATGGACGATGAGTGCGCAGGGCGCAAGATATCAATCAACATATGAAAAATATGTTATTATATATTTCGATTATTATTATGGTTGTGGTTGTGGTTGTGATTTTTATGCATAGTACCAGGTATTAAGATTGCAAAGATTTATTTGTATTAATAGTTATAAAATTATGATTGCTTTTTTATAGAGATGAAGAATTGGGAGTTGGACTTTGAGAATTTTGAAATTTGAGACTTGAAATTTTGAGGAGGGGGTTTTGTGGTTTGTTAGTTATTCTCGAGTACGTTGGTTGTTATGTGGTTGACTGTGGATGGTGATCTGAATGTTGGGAAGATTGGGTGTGAGTTTCTAGATTTCTCGAGGGAAAATTACGTATCTATCTTTCCTGTAGGTATGTAAAGGGACTCGCGGTACTTGTGCAGCTAGAAAGTATTCATGAAAGTTCGAAGCTGGATATGTGTGTTGCAAGAATCAAGATGGTGAACTACAAGGGGATGAATGGATGGATGGGTTTGGTTCTCGCAGTGGTAGAGATGTACTGAGTGTATGTACTTTTGGGCAGCATGAGCTCGTGAGGAATCATTGAGATCAGATAATGACATTACACGTGATAATGTGAGAGTTGGATATTTTGTAATTTGTACCTACCTAGTTTGTACTGAGAAAATGATACAAAGGGGGAGTTGCTAAGGATCGGTATTTATATTTATTCTGCTACTTACTACCTGTTGAATTGTATGTATGAAGTTTGAAAAGGACCCTGTACCCTTGAGTGGTGGCCAATTGGATTTTCTCCCCTTTGTGTGGTAGGTAGCTCGACCTTAGGTGAGATTCTGAGATTCGGTAATGTATGATTCTACAATTCTACAATTACTTTCCTTTAGATCGCTTCTAGGGTTTTATTATGTATATTGATTTCGAAAACGAAGCTTAAATGATTCTTTGGAAATTGGTTGTCGTTCTGGTTAATATCATTTATTTTTGATCCTAGGATGGGTGGGGTGTAAATGGAAGACTATCTTATTTGACTTTTTGTCATTTGAAGGCGTGTAATGCAGAGTCCAAGTATGTATTGTGAATTTGTGTACGTGGTTCGATGTTCGGATTTCTTGCTCTTTTTACTCTTCTGATTTCCTTTCCAGTTTCTTTTGAGAATACTTTTTTTCCGGATCTCGTTCTTTCTCGTGAATGTCAAGATCAGTTGTGTTGTTCCGAATCACCCGTTTCATTATTTCGGGTGGAGTTGGAAAGTCCAAGCACATGGATCTATCTTGGCATCGGTTAGAATGCGCAAGTGAAGATTGGCCAGGATGGTCTCGGTGTAAGATTGGATGGGAGCCAATTGGGGACGCCAAGCGCGATGCCAAGCTTACATTGAGGTTTCGAAATCGTAAGTATGGGTGGATGAATTTTAAATGAGAGATGGGACGGGAGACAATGGTGGCTTGGAGGGGAAACGGCGTCAGGGGGTGATGATCATATATTTGAAGAAGTGGTGGAGAGTTTGAAGTGTCGTGCGCTTGTCTCCGTGTATGGGAGATCATTGGATTATGGAGATGTGTTACTGCATTGGGGGATTGTCGGAGGGATAAATGGAGGTGGTGACTACTTATGGAAAAGGTTTGGAGCAAGAATGGGTGCATAAAACAAGAAAGGGTTATAGAGGACCCAGGAGAGCTTGGATGTTGGTGGAGATATACAGAACCCGGTACGGAGAACTTACATATCTCAGTCTCACAAAGTCTGCACGTCTCGGCGTATATCCGTTCAGATATCGAACGCCGGCCTTGGTATTCTCTCTTCTCGAAAGACTGCCAGGATGGATACTGTATATCGCGAACGACGACTCCGTAAACACGACGGAGCCAGCCCGAGAATGGCGATTAAGCTTAATGGCGTCGTGGCATATTGATTAACTTTTTCTATACCTTTTGTTTTCATTCTTGATGAGGAGGGAAGATTGTGATTGGGTGGGCTTAGCAAGTGGCAAGCCGTACTAAGTGCAGTTGAATGAGACAATGCGTTAGGTGGATATGCAATAACTGAATTTTGAGAGGGTGATTGACGATATATGAAGATGGGTGAATTCCTGTTTCGTTTCAATTTCCCCTTGGTCTGTTCGTCTGATCTTCTTGTCCTGTTGTTTTGATATTACTGGTTTTGTGGAACATTTTCTTTTTATTCCAAGGAGAGATTATTTTATGAGTGGGAAATTTTAGAAAAAGATTTGAAGAGGGGATTCATTACAGATATCATTACTGTATCTCTTGACGAGATTAGTCTTCTGGGAATTGGAAAGGGAATTTCTTCCTTGAGATACTCTTTGTACAACATTTACAACGCATACAATACAACTTGTACAACTTCTTTATCGACTCGACAGGCTCGAGCTCAAGACATTACAGCATAACACTACACAAGGGGAGATTATCTGATAGATATCTCTTTATCCAGTTTTTCAACCATCACTCCAACAAACCCACATTCTTTCAACCCCCGTTTCGGTTTCTTTGAGAAAAATATTTCCTTTCAGAGAGGGGGTCAAGAATATATCATCTCAACTAGACCTATCACGAACATCGACATCACAAGATCACAACACAAAGTCTTTGTGTGAATCTTCGCCCACTGCGAAATAGATTTCTTTGACTCAGCCTGGGAACCAAATCATAAAGTTATTGATACCACCCCGGGGGTTGGAACTTAGTTTGAACTTTGGAACTGATTGGAACTTCTTTCAATATTATTTTGGACACTTTACATTTTACCTATTCAGTATTGCTGGATCAACATTTGATTTCCGAACTTACAAGAGATTACTTTCGCATTGCTGGATAGCATATCATTTACCTTTCAGGTTGATCAATCGGTCCGATCGACTTTGTACAAATTTACTTGCGGAGAACAAGATACATATCCTGCCCACTCGTTACATCGGGAACGTCATAAACACCACATCAAGCCACCATGTATATTCCATACCTTTCCTCCACTCTCAACGCCCGATCCCTCACTACCCGCGCGGAATCCCCTCCTACTTCCATCTCCAGTGAAGGATTCTGGCAGGTGCAATTTAATTTCTGGGGTACCATCCTCGCTTTCATCGCCGCTATTGCTATTATCACCGGGATTTTGACATGGTGTTTAGTATGTCGCGGCAAGCGGATACAGAAGAAACTCGCCAAAGCCAAGGAAAAGGAACGTGAGGAGGAAGAGAGAGCCAAGAATGAAATGATGGGGAAGGTTTTGGGAGGCGACGCAAATGGAGTTGCGAGAAACGGGAGTAAATTGGGTGTGGGTAGAAATGGGACGGTGAGGAAAAGTGAGATTAGCAGACCATTCCCAGCGAGGCCAGAGAGTTCGGGGAGTGTGGATTCGATGGATGAGAAGAGGGAGTTGGAGATGGAGTATGAGAGGCAGAGTGCGAGGGATAATCACTGGTCTGAGAGGGCGGCATGGAAAGAAGAGATGGTGGGGACGGAGAGTCCGGTTCCGTCGTATCATTCGAGGGAGAGGAGTGGGGATGAGGAGAAGAGTGAGTGGAGGACGGAGAGTTTGAGAGGGGGTGATACCATGGGAAGTGGAAATGCAAGTTCCACGAATGTGAATGGAAACGCGAATGCAGGAAATGCATGGCATAGGATCGAGGTTAATGGAACGGTGTATATGGGGCGAGAAAGAGGCGATTCAGCATATTTGGAAGATAAAGAGATCAAATTTGTGTAGGATGAGTGGTGTTATTCATTACAGGGTACTTTTGAGTCAGATTGGAATTCACTGGATGATTCATCCATATACTGACGAGATGTCATGTGTCCTGAATTGAACTACCCCTCATTTCTGTATGGGATTTTGAATTTTTGATGGACAGTTTGATGGTTCGGGAAGGGAAGGGATAGAATGGGATGGGAATGGGAACGGGAACGGGAACGCAGGAAATGATACCATAGGATACGTTTGGAATTTGATAGCGGAATTTGCATAACTAGCTTGATAGTGCTTAATTTTTTAAGCAACAGTGATGGTGCGATGCACGCATCCTTACTTATCTCTATACATCTACACATACATATATTAATTTATAATCATACCTCCAACATAGAGAAACAAAACCAAGTGAGGTTCGAAGTAAGTACCGAGTTGTGAGCGATCCACTTGGTGAGGGGGAAATAGATTGGAAAATGAATTTTCTTTGTATATTATATTTTTCCTTTTGTTGTCGGGTACTTGGTTAGGTAGCCTTCACGTTTTTTCCATACCTAACAATAGGTAAGTATTTATAGAGGCGAGTTTTGAGGAATCGAAATATATGTACTGGTGAGATCGAATATAGAATACCTAGATGAACAAATATCTTATCCAATCCAGTACACATATCATTTTCTTTCACCTCTCAAAATCGTTGCTAAGAATATCTCTCCTATCCTTGAGATATATTTCTCAACAAAGCAATCTTTGATATTCCTTTTTCTCTTCTGTCCTCTCACAAAGCCCTTTGCAATATAAACGAATTCTCCATTGTCAGCCTACAAAGACCCTCATCACTGCTTTCTAGAGCATCTCTATCAAAGAGCTCTTGTAATGGAAAACTTCTTTTCTTTCTCTGTTGCGTACAATGGAGAGGAATGTAATAAAGAGTCTTTATTCCCATTGTGCGATTCTTAATCGACGTCTTGAGTTATCTTATATATACCTTCCCGTCCTTGCGGGTTCATGTATCCATTCTTGATTTTGCTATACTACAAAACAAAATATAGAAATATACAAATTGATAAATAAAATAGAAAGGCAATCACTTTGCTTATACACTCGCTCCTATATATATACTTCTCCAGCAAACGAAGAAACAAAAGTATAAAAATATAAAGATCCAAAACACACTCAAGAAGAAACCAAACTCAAAACAACAACAACAACAACATGGCGCCCGCACCACCCCCACAAACAAGCGCCTCAAGCCTCCTCAACCCACCTGCATCCATCACAACACTCCTCCCCCTCACCGTCGCCAAAGCCATCGAAACCGCCTCCGCCACCAGAATCCCCTCTATCGAAATCCTCCCTCCAAAATCCACTTCCGCCCCCAAAAGCATCCCCATCTCCACATTCTCCACCTCCATCATATCCAAAACCAGTTCTACCATCTCTAGCACCGCCACCGCATCAGCAACATCTACCGCCGATAAAGGAGTATTTACTCGTCCTTCTGGGAGTCTTACTGCGATCATCACGGTGATTATCGTAGCGGTTTTTGTGGCGTATTGTGTGATTAGGTGTTGTATTTGTAAGAGTATGCGGAAGAGGAAGGAGAGGAAGGAGTTGGAGAGGGAGAGGGGGATTTGGAGCGCGAGAGGGTGAGACAGATGAGGGAGAGGGAGGCGATTGAGATGGCGGGAAGGATGAGGGAGAGGAGTAGGGAGAGGATGAGGGAGGATGGCTGGGAGGATGGCTGGGAGGATGTGCTTTTGCATGGGAGACATGTTGGTTAGGTGGGGTGGAATAGAAGGAATTGTAAGGAAGATAAATAGAAGGAAACCTCAGAGTATAGGAGTTTATTGGTAGGTAAGAAAGAAGAGGAGGGAACCGGTAAGTTTAAAGGATAACAAGGCGGAATCTCCGATGGAGGAAAAGGAAAAGGAAAGGTGAGATATAATTATATAGGTAAGTCCCCTCCCCCAAAAGGTAAAGTAATTCACAGGTAAGTCGTACATGATAGATGGCATCGGAGTCATAGGGAAAATATAAAGCTAATAAAATTAAGTTATTGCTAAAGACCCGAGATTGCTTCGAGTTGTATTGATGCGATATGAATTGTTTGATGTGAACGCAACATGTTCAAATTTTGACATTTAATAATCTACTGAGAATTTAGAAAGTTATGAGAGACCCGAAGAACTCTCTAATACTAAGATTCAACTTATAGGGTTCAGATAAAGGAGACATATATAATGCGCTAATCGTACAACTTTTCCAGACCGACCAACTATCTGCTACACCAAGTTCTTCATTTTACCGTTCTACATGTTACTTGACGCGGCAGTGTGTAAGTCTCCCCTTTACCAACGCAGTATTGGATGTTACCAAGGTATTCAGTTTGATAGACAACAAGGTACCAAAAACTGAGCATTCAGTGCTTCATCAACAGACGTGGTACGTGATGAAAAATGATGATCGGTCCAGGAATTGATTGTAGATATAGACGTAGAAACAAGTAAGTACAAATTCTTTCGATAAACTCTGAATATCTGAAAAGAATGACGCCATCGTCATAATCCCATGTATGATTCGGTATCTATTGGCGACCGATAATCTTACATACCTACCTAAGTAGGTAATAAGCATAAATTTCGGCACCACCATGTTGAGCACAATCTGACTTGAATACCACCATACTGAAATTCAAAGGCAACGAATCCGAGAGCATTGCAAAGCTAATTGGAATTGTGAGTGATTACGACCACAGTACACGAGGAGCACTGCGAATCGTCGATTATATATGAGGTAGTCGTCTAATTTCATGAATACGAAGGAACTTCCAATTGCCTTACAATATTTGCTCCATAAGTGTCATTTCTGCCTTGCAGTAAGCAGGGAATTGCCAGAAAATTATGATTTTTGCGATAGTTCAATATCATTTATAGGTGCACTCGGTGACTACGCCGTAAAAAATGTTCCTGTAGGCAGCTGTGCCGCAATTTCGACCAAATACGGAATATCTTCAAGGCAGCAATGCGACCCACACCACGATGAGTATCCAAAATCATGAGTTTAAGAAGAAAGGTTGCGCACGCTGGTGTGCAATATGAGTAGCAATAGCTTTGAGAAACAAACAGACAGAGCGACAATTGTTCATCCGAAGACAAGATGGTCAAACAAGCAGAACCTCAAAGTAGCCCCATGCCTAGCATGCCTACAGGTGCCTCCAGCCAAATCCTGAAATCGACCGGCTCTCGAAAGTTTTCTGCTGTGGCTATGATTGTTCTTCTTTATACTACTGCAACTCCGTTCAGTCCAATAGCATGGCTCACCTCCTCAATCGAAGGCTCGTTATTCCTCGATCGAATTCTCGCCGGCGCACTCCTCTTCGCAGCCATGTTTTTTCAATGGCAAGTTGCGGTGCAAGCTTATCCCATTGCCATAATTCTCCCGACTGGTAATCGTACAATGATCTCAAACGGAAATATCGTACAATCAACTGGAGATGTGATCTGGATATACCAACCTTCGAAATATTGGGAATATGTGTTGATGGAAGGGTTGGGATTGATAGCGGCTGAATGGGCAGGAGTAGAACTTATCAGGAGGGGTGTGGTCAGTGTGGTCATCGCGGCATTGTGGATAGTGGGTTGGAGTGTTACGCCAGAGCGAACGAAGAGGCAGGGGTGGGAATATTTGAAGAAATTTTGGTTTTGGATTGCGTTGGATGAGATTATGAGGGTTGGACGGGGTGGTGGCGGTATGAGGAGAAAGAGATGGTAAATAATGGATGTTGGATGATGTGGTGTTTGTTGATCGAGAATAATGTAGATTATGAGGAGCTCGAATCATCTGAACGGATGGACCTGAAGCTGTAGACGGAACAGGAAAACTGAAGGAAATCAACAAGGAATGTTCGAATCGAATCAACTTTAGTTTGTGGAGTAAGAGTTTGTAGGAATATAATAAATAAAAATTAGATGTTGGACAGCTTTCTGCTTTGATAGATATAACTTTTTACCAACAGTTTTGCATAGACGAAGACGAATCCGATCACGATCGACCCCGCCAAGTGCATGTAACCACATGACATCCATGATTTCTTCCCAGCAACGCCGAGAATACTAGTTTTCCTGATAAATTACTACTCTGCAATTATGAAGAGGTTACATACAAGTCTTCTATAGTCACAGTGAGAAAGAGGAAACGTTTTTTTGATGAACGTAGAGTCACGTGAAGTGATATTCTCGCAGCCCGAGCGACGTTAGACTGGATCACTAGATCATCTCATCAACATCTTGATCGAGGCAATATGTTCCAGGATGGAATGATTACTTAACGGTCTTGACACGCCCACAAAATAACCTCGATCATTACGCCGCAGAAGAACAATAAAAACCCGAGCTTTCACAACTTTAAAACATAAAATCTTCAACATATCAAACGAATACCCCTTTATCCACGAGAAGAAGTTCCTCAAGTTTCGGATCGAATTCAAGAAGGATGCTTTGTAACATCTCCATGGGACCCAGAAGCACAGCACTTTGTTGGAGTGATTGCTCCGTATTTTCCACAATACACATATTCATCCAATCCCTTCGAAGTATACCAGGCCGAACCATCAAAATAATCCTTTCTTTCGATCCTTTCAGTAATCAGAATCATCTGCCAAAGCAATCTGACCACGCTTTCCTTTGCCTTTCTTCCTGTTTCTCTGCTTTTGTTTCCGTCCTTTATTCCCGCTAGATGAGCTAGGTGTTTGATTTCGACTCTGCTTTTCAATGGCTAGTTTCTCAGCCTTCTTTTGCGCAACTAGGCTTAGTAGGTTCGCTGAAAGGTCCGGTCGCTTTTCTTCAAATACATCCTTAATGATAAGTTCCAAGGAATGTCGTACTTCCCATGGCTCGTTATAGTTTTCGCTGATATGGCTTGCGCTGTCGTCGCTCGGATTGCTCGAACCGATGTCAGCAAAAGCCTTGCATTCAAGCGGCTGTTTGCAGTGTTGTTCTAAAGCTCTATAACGATCTAGTTGATCGGGAAACACTTCATACCATGTCATATTTTCTCCAATACAACACGCTTCAACATCGGCTCCGCGCTGGAGCATGATTTCCAGTGCCCGAAAAATTACATTAAGAGTATGGAACCCAAAAGAAATGAATTTAGTATGCACAAGGTGAAGAAATATTTTCCACAAACTGTGACCGTAATATATATCATTAAAATTGGCGTTGTTTTCCAACAGAAACACCAGTAATCTTAAACTGTGTAAGCTTGATATAAAGTCAAATGTAAAATAACCAAAGCAGACTACCATCAGAGGAGGATCATATTTCAGTCGCATCAGAGACGGGTCTGATATTATCTTCATCTCAACATAAGTAGATACACCATATTCAACACATGCCGAGAGTAAGTTCATCGTACTCCATAAATCCGCCCTGTCGCCCTTGGAGACATCATGACGAGGAAAACTTTCATCGTAGGTGGTACAAGTAACATTATTACGATCAATATGAGTAGGTTTAAAGTTAGACTCATACCAATATTCCAGCTGGTTAGTAGATGGTTTAAGAGAATCCGAATACTGCTGAGCGGCTCTATCAAATTCCTCAACCAACTGGGGGATATGGCTTTTGGCCTTGGTTGAGGCAACTCTGCGTAGGTTCCAGATGAAGCGACTCCAAATACCTCTCCAATTTTTTCCCATTTCTATTATACTTGTCGAAAGAAGCGAATTATCCTTCGTACCCGCCTTGACTAAGTTTAAATAGAAAATTGACCAAGTAAACCATGGATTGAATTCCAGGTCTGATGTATGAGTAAGGAGTATTTCCCATGTCTTGGGCTTTTGTATGTATTCCCGAGCGGTTCTATGAATTTAATTCACATCGCCTATGCTCTTGGCCAATTCCAAAAGCCCTCCACACCGGGTACGTAACACATGGGCGAGATCCTCCCCGCAATCCTCGAGGGACATTTGGCGAAAGCAGGAAGTTTCGTCTGCAAGTATAGCTTGACTGAAAGACTTAAAGCTCAATTTGTAGGCAGCATAGAAATCTAGAAAATTGATTTTTGACAAGAGTACCCTTGCACCCTTTTCTAGTTGAAATATCTTCGAGGCCTCTACCATGTGTATTCGATCAATGGACGATAAAATACGGTCATAGAGGTCATCAATCTCCTTTGGAGTTTCTTGTAGGCGAGCTCTGAGCGTTGAAACATCATCCCTTTTTCGGAGGCCATTCAGTAAAGAATTGACGACCAGTCTAACCCATAAGAACACCCCATTCCCATCATACACGACGTTGGTTATCAGCGCCGACGCATCCGACGGACTAGTATTCATCAGAAGTCGCATCTGTAAGTTATTCTCCAATCTATTTCGAACGTAGATTGTAATGTCAGACGCCGTTAGGTCATGGAGCTTTAGTTGGGGCACGCTTCCGAATGTATCCAAAAATCCAATTTCAGGCCGGCTGGATAAGCAAAATTTCGCGTGTTTCGATTCGGATAGTTCGTAAAAGTAATCTGCAATATCCCAATAATCTCCTTCGTATTCATCCAAACCATCAATGAAGAAGCAAAATGATAGTGTTCCCGACGTTTTCTCGATCAATGTCCGGAATGACTTTTTCAGTACAGGTAGTGACCAGTTTGTTGCCAGAATAGGGACATTATGCAGGGTATTCTCGAATGCGGTCTTCCATTCCTTGGGAAATACTTCGGGTATGAGAGTGCAATGTTTCTCAAGAATCTCGTAAAGTAGACTTCGAAGTAAGCCAGATTGCGATCTTTGAGCTTCATCACCACTGTTCCAGAAGAAAAAAGATGGTGTCTCCAGGGGAGTATTATGTGCCCATGTTTCTGCGTATCCACGAGATCGAGAATCATCGACAATAAATCTCATTAAGGTTGACTTTCCACATCCAGGTTTGCCATGAATCCAGTAGATGCCATTCTCGTTTTTCAGCCATTCGCTGAAATTGCTCCATGGTTTATGTTCAATTTCGGGATCGCAAAATATCCACTCAAAAGTTTGCTGATGTGCTTCAGCAATCGTCTCATGCCGAAGATTCATCGATGAAAACTTGAGACTTTCAAGAATACTTAATTCCGCCTGACGCCGATGCCTCGATGCTTGTTGATCGACAAGCACACTGCGAGTGTGCGAATGCTCTTTCTCCTGCGACAATCTCAAGTGATTGAAGTTTTGCTCAAACTTAGTTAAACTACTCTGGTGATTGTCTAGGACGTCTTGCATTATTGCTTGCAATGCTTTATCAAGCGTTTTGAAATTGTTTTCCTGTTCGAGCTTGACTTCGATCATTCGATATCTAAATGGCCCTGTTAGTACTAAATAAGTTTGATTCGATTGTATGAATGAAGGGGCCGGTAAAGAGTACGCGAGTCACTTTTAATCTCACTAGCTCAGAAGATCATGGCCTTACCTCAAGTCAACAAGAACATGTGTCTCGAGATTGCTACGCAAATCACCCAAACGACTTTTCAACCCTTGTATCTTTTCATCATTCCAAACAGCCCTGACTGCTTGTTGGAAGCTTGCTAGCCTTGGATGCTTAACGCTTAGATTGAGCTTTAGGGAGTCAAGAATACCGCTAAGTTCCTCAGACAAGTCGATGCATTTAGTGCAGATATCTTTGAGGGCTCGATCGGCATCCGCTGGTGAAGGCGAAGGTGCGTTTTGAATTTTTGAATGAAGAGAGCTCCTTAACGGCTCGACTAAGTTTTGCAAGCGATTTGTCGCCTCCCCAAGTTCAACATTGGCCCCAAGCTCTCCAGACTTATAAACCTCTCTTCCTTTCAAAGCTATTCCTGTGCTGTAATCAATGAACTGTATCACAGCTGCCGCGACTCCTAAGGCTGTAATTGGGTCCATGTTTCCCCGAGAGGAATATTCTAATAAATAGTGTTGACTGTCGACAGCAATACTTTATGGTAATTTAGATATATTGAAGTTGATGAGCTGGTTCAACAATTGTATGATGAGGCTGTGGATTCAAGATGATATGTGCAACAGAAACAAGACCATGATATATGTCAGCTTCGGACACTTCAACTTCCTGGTATCTTGTGGCGAATCATTGCCCGAGATATATGCAGGCGCACACAATATCTGCGCACTTCCTATATTTTGGATGACCAGAGCCTATCAATATCCTCAATCAGCCAATTATCTAACGAGCTGCTAATATGATCTTGGTGGTTTTGGATGCCAAGTCGTCACATTTGCATTTCGCATTTTGTACCACCCCTCCATTTTTATTACTGGCAGGACGAATAGGGTTTTAGGCTTTTTTCGATATAGTATCTTCAAAATCCGTAATTGACTGCAGTCCAGACTGGCTGAGCATACAGCGTCTCTTAAAATGGGCCTTTGACATAACAAACATCCCTTTGTTGAGAACAGAGCCACATTGCCTCGAATGAAAAATAGAAGCATTAAAATTCTGAGACTTGAATAGAAGGATGCAAATGAGACGTTGCGTTGCGATCTGAAAACCGCAAGCAATACGAGTAGAAGCCGTGCGTTTGCACCCACCAAGGAGGAATCACGCTATCACGTGACTTTCCTCGACAACCTCTTCTTCAGACCTTCTAAGACCAGGAAGATCTTGTAACCCTCATGCGATAAATGTTCAAAAGACCTGACAGTAAGTGTAGTTTTTTTTGTCTGAACGAGATCCAGGAAGCCAAGTTGGAGAAAGCTTTCTTACAAATCACTCCTCAAACGCAGATGCAATCGGCGAGCGAAGTATTGCAAGCCTAGAATCATCGTGAAGAAAGAAGAACATCAGCTTTCGATAATTTACGTTATATTCTTCCTCTCGGATCATATGATTGATTGTTGAAGTTTTGGAAGTGCTCACTCGCACCAGTAGCTTGTATTTATCTTGCGCCGCGTTCACACGTCGCAGAATCCCAATGCTTGAGTTATCTTATAAATCTCCAAGTATCAAAGTCTTGAAACTTTACCCTCTCATTATATCCTAGAATTTATAAATACGCTTGACAAATTATACGTGAGGTATCCAGGCACGTTTTCATTGCCATTCCCCATGTCAACATCCAATTCCACAACCCCTCTTTCTTATCGCGCAACAATTCTCAAAGATCCACCCAGAAAAGCTGCCATGACAGAAATCCATATTTCTCGTGTTTTTGATACTATTTTGATGCTTTCTGGAACGGAGAGATGAATGATCGAACAACCCCGCTCATGCATAGCTTATGACTTCTTTTAGTTACGCATCATGTACATAGTCAACTAACTGAAACACCCGTTCGAGAATATATAACCCTAAGATCGTGGGGCAGTTTTTTCATGACGTAGGATTCATCTTAATTATCTCTCTCAGGCAACACAACAGAGCGTGCACTTCTGGATGTACCCAGACAAGATACTTACACATTTTTATTATTCTGTCATTTAGCTGTTCTGTTTATACATATTAGTCCTACAGTATGTTGTTTTTAAATTACATTGATATCATCCATATAAACTCTCAAGGGGACGCTCTAACAGGTAGTTCCTCGACCCAGCCCTCCGCATCCCCCAATTCCACACAACTTCCCGTCCTTCCCTGCCCCTGTTCACTCCTAGGACTACCACTCGTTCCTCGTCCCATATCACTCTTAGGACTACCGCTCATTCCCCGTCCCAAATCACTCCTCGAACTTCCACTACTGGACCTCCTCTCCCAGTTCACAGATCCAATCAACCTAAAAATTTGATTTTTATCCTTCGCCGCATGCCGCATATGACCATCCCCAATCCTTTCCGAACCATCCCCCCATACCGAGCCTTCTCTCTTATCTGATGCACATTCATCCCATTCTGCAAACATTTCGCTATCCCACACTCCCTCCCTCATCGGTTCCCCATCACTATCTTTGTACGATCTCAAAAGTTCTATTGCCCTGTTCCGGATCGTACGGTCATGACACCATTTTGCAGCAATATGTAGAGGCATTATGACACCTTGTTCGAATTTAAAATTCCCAAGTTGTCGTTGATCTTTTGTTTCGGCAAGAATTTCCTCAGTGATAGCCAAAATACTTTGATACTCCGGAATGATTGCCTGGTGATCTGGCGGCGGACCGCCTGGCGCAATCTTCATAATTATATCCATCGCGATGCTCTGCGCTCTTAATAGATTGGCTCCGGCAAGTTGATCGGTATCTAGCGGTGGGATATTAGAACAGAATAAATCGAAGGCCGATGTCCATCTGATAAGTGATTGTGTGATTTCGTATTTAAGGGCTCTTATGTCTACTACTTCAGGCAGGCTATTTTCCTCTTTGAAGCCTTTCGTGGGTATGATTGCAGTGGAAGTATCGGTCTTTTTGGCGGTGGCAGCGGCACATTCAGCTGCTAGGTATCCAAAATGTACTGATCGTCTCTCGATTAGCTCGAGATATAACCGGGCTTCCTGTAAGTCAGGAAAAATGCTAGGCATGTCTTGTATTGTTCCGATTGATTCGTATATTGTCTCCTTGTGCTCTTCACTCGTTCCAGGGTCTCCAAATGTTGCAACTTGTTTGTCAAGCCTGAGGAAGGCTTGAACTAATTCGTCCTCAATCATCCTAGAGTCCGGAGAACAGAGACCTGCTTTGTAATTTTTACCTCTATAATTTCTTAGCCACTGGCGCAGTATTTTAACGCCACTTCTAGCATGTGTAAGAGCAGTAAAGTCATTTCCTAACAACCATTCAAAACAGCAAACTAAAAGGCAGCCGATCAAGGCCTTCCTTGGACCTTCACTGATTTCTAGTTTGGACAATCCAACACTCATTGAACGAAGGGCAAGCCCATATCTCTTGACAGCAAAAACTCGCATTTGCACTGCTTCATCCGCGTATCCCCTTGATTGGACATCTTTGGACTCAGCAAATGAACCAATTGCAACTAGCATCTCCCGAAGATAAGATTCATCGTGTGCAGCTTGCATAATGATGCGATCCCATAATGACGAAGAAAAGACGCGACTTCGACTCCAAGTCACGGATATGCTTGTCTTGGTTAAATATGTTCGAAAGTATCGTTCTTCAGATTCATCTTGGAAGGGCAGTCTCATCGACGGCGAGGAATGTGGCGATAGTTGCTGTGAATGAGATGATTGAGGCGATAATGATATTGGCGATACCTCATCAGTGCGAGGGAGAAGCGGTTTGGGGTCGGGTTTACGTCGATTTATAGAGATACGAACGCCATATCCTTCACATGTCACGCCAAACACCTGACATCGATTGCACTCGGGTTTTCGCTCGTCACATTTGATTCGCCTTCGTCTTTAAATGCAGATGTATTAGTGTCATCGAGCCTCACAGTGTCGACGAAGCATCGACTTACTTGCAAGTTACGCATCCGGACCGAACCTTGGGGAGGTTAGGCCGCTTCTTGGCTTGTCTTCCGGAAGTACCATTAAGCTGGGCCGAGGGGTTCATCTGAGCTTTATTGTTGTAGGGAGTGATAATTGTGTTGCCATCAATTGGGCTTCCATCTGAGGCTTGAAATTGGACGATGTACCCGATGGGAGTATTAGGCGCCATTGCATACAATGATTTTTCTGTGAATTGCTTGACTTGTAGTAAGTATCCAATTGTCTCTAGGAATTGTATCCAGATCTACTCGAGTAGTCTGATGATATTCAGCCTTAGACCAGACGATGGGGTGTCTTGAATTAAGCACGGCCCCCTGATTATTGATCGACTAGCCAATGAGATCAATGATAGATATTAGAGACGGAACGGAATCCGAGAATTCTGCTGGAGCCGCCAGTTTGGTAATGTCTACAACGGGAAAGGTATCATGTCCACGGGTGTATCGATGCTGGTGCTAGATTAAGCTATTCAAACCGTGTATGGGATAAAGATGAGATGTAAGTTGACATCTAACGGGCTGAAGACGGGGCTTCAAAAGAACAAAAAAGCTAGTGTCCCGAGAGAAAGAGGCGTAACCACTTCTTGGCTCCAGAAATCTCGTCTAATAGAGGATCCCATGGATACCAAGGCATTTTAACCAATTTCATTTATTTTACAGGGGCGTTTCATAGTCAAGGCTCAAAAAATCACTGTATTTGACTTTTTGACATCCAAGGCCCTGGATGATGGAACCATGATAGGAACTAACTCCCGTGGGTCTTAATTATCTCTTATTCCGGCTGGGGTTATATCTATTCGGGGGGGGTGAAGGACGAAATGAGCTGCACACCAAGCAAACCTTATAATCGATGTTCTACTCGAGTAATTCAAGTTTGATAATCAAATATTGTCAGTGTTATAAATCGGTTTGTGTATTCAAATACATTGAATATTTCAAATCATTTTAAAGATACTCGATTATGTGTTTAAAAAATTCATTTTGGGGTGCGGTTTATATTATTCATATTTCTACTTCGTACGTGGAGAGAAGTTTCCATAATATTACTGGACCCTCGTGCCGTGGTATCGCCACACTTAATTAATATCCTAGCAGACTGTTCGAGTGATCCATAAAGCGTTTAGCCTTAAACGATCTGCAAAGACGCTCTGGAAAGATAGTTCCTTATACTAAACGGATCGTGCTTCGGTTTGGGAATTCTTTTGGTCTCCCTTGCCATACCTTTGCAATAAGTTTTTCCATCGGAGAAACAGGCTGTACTGTCCAAGAATACTCACCCCTTTTTTCTGCCTTTTTCGCCTCGGAAAGTGTCATGATCGGTTTGCCCGTAGGATATCCTTTAGATCTTTGAATCATAATTGCACCGACCCTCCGATATTCATTGTCAACATTTCCAGTTGATTCGACGAGAAGAAATGCTAAACTGCCGTCCAAATTGAAACCATTGTTATCTTCAGAAACGCCTTCGATGTGCACAAGGAGAAAGGCGCCAGATTTTTGGTTTGGATGTGGAATATGTTGCTGTTCGAACTCAAAACTTGCATGATCAGCGTCATTTATCCATTCGTGAATGTACTCTTGAAGTTCAGGCCATGATCCAGAATAGATCTTCTCCATGCCATCATTGCCGAGCCTTTCTTGAAATTTTGGGAGTGGCTCAGGCGGGTCAGAAAATCTCCAGTAATGATCCGCCAGGTTGTGGATTGGAAATAGAACTCCTTTCATGATCAACGCGCTATCTGGCTCAAGGGGGCCAAATATATCTGTTCCTGAATGGTGAAGTTGAAGATCGACTAAGGCTGCTATTTGATGTACGGTAGCATCCGCAAATGGGTATGGTTCCAGTTGTGCGCTTCCGGCATTGATGCTTGCCCAGGACCACGAAGGAGCTAAATAAGATTCACGCTTCTTCCAATCAATATGTGTAAAGAACTGGGTGTCAATTTCAGACTCCGATACTTTGTTAATCTTTCTCAATGCTCTCCTGTTCCAAAGTAGACTGGGAATTAGGTAAGATTTCCACATCCCGGAAACGTATGTATCTTTGGTAATCATCGAGAACTCCCGAGCAATACCGGATAGAGCCGGTAAAACATCCGTCATATATGTCAGATTCCTAATTGAGAACTGTTGCACCATTTCAGACCATCTCAAATACGGATCCATTCCCCAATTTTCTTGCATATTAATCCCTGTGGCCGCAAGTTTCTTAGAAGGATAGCCTAATTTCGCTCTACGATTATCAAATTCCGAAAAAAGAGCATAAGTGTTTAATGACAAACTTTGTATGGCGCGAATCATTCTATTGGTTTGTTTCTTCCGCAGTTTGTGTAAAAGATCTTTACTGTCGTAGTTTTGATCCAGAAGTCCGATATGGCCACTCTCATCCTCCGTATGATAGGCACATTCCCATATCATCTGATCTCTGCCATATGATAATGCCCGCGGTGACAATAGCCCTTCCTGGAACGTCCAGCCACGAGTAAACCAAGAACTAGACTTAGCAGCCTGACGAGATATGTGAGATACTAAGCGAAGTGAGACGCTGGTATTGGAGTCCCAAGGCAATTCACATCGTGCAACGGCCTGTACATTTTCTGGCCGAGGAAAATGCATTCCAGCGCTAGTCGAAGTAGAATTTGCTGCGACAATTGTGATTGTCGCACCTGCGTAGACATCTCTCATTCGGCCGGCTTCAGCCTTCCAATCATCGGTGCTATCTTGACGGATGCACAGAGCATCAATCCACACATATTTTAAACCGAGCTCCCTTGTTGTCAAAACTGCATCTCGCAGGGTAGCCGGAAAATCATTCACCGGAATACCGCTTTTAAGACTTTGATATGTTGACTGTTCCAATTTCAGGTAACCATTGCCACCCCATAAATAACTAAGGGCTACCCATTCAACGTCACCACGATCGGGGTTTTCATCCAAAAATGGATTGGTGTCTGGAGAGCCTACATCAATGAGGCGTGTAGGACATCGAGTTTTGATGGGTCCGCAATTCTTATGATCTCTCGAGCAAACTCTCAGCCATTGTTTGGCCAGTTTGTAGCACTCTGGAGAATTTGATTGCGCGAATATCGGCCTTCCGATGAAAGGGCTCTCCTGATGTACCGTACTATCTGATATCAATATTTCAGTAAATTTGAAACCATGGGAAAGAAGGCTATAAAATGAAATCGGACCTACCTGGAATTGCAAATACTTCGAGATTGCACAGATTCCGCGGAGAATTGTTTGCAGGTCGTTGGGACACCAAAATGTAAGGACTCTCACGTTTTGCGACACTAGAGCTTCCTGTTCCAATGAAAATCTGACCTTGGCCAGTCTCATCAAGCCACTTTTCTACAGTTATATCTTGCTCCTTCTTTGATCGAGTCGTCCATATCAGAACACAAAATTCACATCCAGCTTCTGAAGAAGCTTTTAGAGCGGCGGTGCTTATATGGTGCTTGTAAAACTCCGGTAGACCAGGCCGTACCTGCAGATCAGCACTTTGATATCCACTTATTGCTCCCTTGGCTGATGTCGCATTTTGAGCGGCGGAATCAAGGAAGAGCTTTCGAAGGTCGAACTTCTGACATATCTCACAAAGATTCGGTGGCATGATAACAATAAAAATTGTTCCTCAAGGAAATCATACAAGCGCAGAAGAGCTGTTCATCCAAGTCGACTTATAGCAGCTGCTGATAGCGGGCGCTTATGTCAAGTTGTGCGTAAGACAGCTGAGATCTGTGCAAGGATTGTATTCCTGCAACATTTAGCCCCCAAATGTAGTTGACCAGATGCTGGTGCGAATTGTACAAGAACTGTATGACGGAAAGCATAACGTACAAAAGTAACTAGGTGCTCTGGTGTCAAATTTACGGTCCATATATTTGAAATAATATTTCTAATATCCGAATCCAAAAAAAACAGGATTCTCGGGTAATGAAGTTGTGCCACCGCTCTTCTTTCTTGAATTTTATTGGAATGCAACTGGGTCTCGGGCGTGATGTGAGAAAAATCAACATTACTTTAACATTTCTATAATTCTTAATACCAATTGTGACCATCTTCTCCTTTCTCTTCATTCTTAGGATTGAGCGACAAGATCCTCTGCGCAGGAAGTGTAATACCAAATTGTGATTCAAAGATTCCAGAAATCGCACGCCCTTTAACGGTATCAAATGAATCATAGCCCTCGAATTCGCCGTTAATTGCAGCCCATTCTGGCGATAACGGAGAAGTTCCATTGCCTAAATCGCTCCACCTCGTCACAGTCATAGCTTGCTTGAATCTGTTGACTTGGTCGGTTTTATCCTCAGCGAATTTGAGTTCAACCAAGTACTCTGTTGGGCATCGTGGGCATCGACGCAATGGCTGACACACAGAGCATTGCGAGGACATTTGACTCCTTTGATTTGCAAGTGAAAAGAGAGCATTCGGACTGCTTTTCAGTGCTGAAGACGTTGTTTCTCTACGTTTGGGTATGTGCCCCAACGCACATTTACATACATCCATGAGATCGCCATCTCTCCAATGAGCGCAGACCGAAAAGTATGGAAAGTAATCCTCGCGGGAATACAAAAGGTTCCGCTGCGCACTTATAGGGAGATCTGGTTCTGGAAAGCATTGACTGATCACGCGTAAGAGAAGATGGCCTTTGTCAACATAATATCGACTTTGATGTGACCAGGTTCCTGTGCCTTGGGCTCCAAGTTGAGGATCTTTCCAGCGTTTGGATATCGATTCTACTGGAATTCCGTGGCTTGGGGAGTAGCGATTTGATCGTAACACAAGCTGCACAAACGAAAACGGGAGAGTGTGACCGACAGTTAGTCGAGTCCTTGGAGCGACTTGTGTTAAAGCATTTGGACATTCGAAAAGATGATTTATAATATGTGTGGCTTTCAGGCGTTCTTCGCCTGGTATTATGCGAACATGATAGATTGCACAGGGGAAACAAAGAAGATGATTAGGAAGATCACGGTCCATGTGAACCAAAAACTCAATCCTGTATCGATGGTTTTCTGGAAGATCCAGATCATGCCATGGTTTACGTCCAACTCGATGGAGAAGTGTTTTGCTTGAGAAGGCAAGACTCGCTGCATCACTAGGTGAAAGATATCCCACAATAATCCTCCAAATATTTGAAGGTAAACTGGCTACCGCGAGCTCTCCGGGGGGCCGATCTGGATTATCCATACCGTAAGCTTCATGCATAGAATCAAAAGATCCGACGTGGGCTAAACCGTGGAGCAGTGCGGTATGATCGACCCTCTCTCCAGTTTGCTCATCGACTGCACCATCGAATGATCGGCCATTGGGGCGAAGATATTGAGTGGCCTGTGAAGCCCCTTTTCCTTTCGGATTGGCGGTCTTCGGACGAGTGGGCTGCTCCTTTCTCAATTTATTCCGAGATGGTTTAAATCTTAAAGTATTGACGGTACTCCCTGCATCTGACTCGGCTTTCAAGTAAGCCGACTCCCCTTCATCTGACTCTGTCTTCAATCTATTTCGAGAAGCTTTTGGGCGTAAAGAGTTAAAGAGTTTACCGAAGACCATGATACTTGGTGTGATGTGGATATCTGAGACCCTTGAGATTACAGTGATACTAGAATTGGTAAATTTGCTATCAAAAAAATGTACAAAGATAAATAGAATAATAAAAAACGTTAGCACAAGGGGCGGGACGCGATGTGGTCGCGCCGGTAGATCCGCGTGCTGAGTCAGGCGAGCTTCCCAGTTACCGCAAATAGCTCCAAAGCTAGTATGTGTATGACATCAATAGTAGTAGTACTTGAGCATATCTAGTATGTCCTTCATAAGTCTTCTTAACAAGAAAGATATTGTCAGTTAGATGGATGGTTTTACGATAACTTGATAATCAAGTACTGGGTAAGACTTCTCAAGGCGAAGATACCGAAAAATTGTGATCCCAAATTAGAATTCTTAGTAATCATTGATAAACGCATAGCGAAAATTACTAAGCCTACCCCCTTCTATATTCTGGCCACTAGATATGATGTCCGGTGCATGCATGAGCTCAGCCTCGAAAACAGATGCTACAATATCAATATAGAAATGCTCAAACATTTTTCCCCATCAAGGTAGCAAGTGCGCATACCCAACTACTTTATCCATACATATGGCACGACGAAGAAGACCGCCGCGCGCTGGCGCCATTTCCGAGTTACCACCCTTAAAGATCCTCAGCCAGATTATAATCCTCCAAGTGCTTTGGTATGTTATCGGGACGGCGCTGATACTCTTTACCGCACTGGTTGCTGGAAGAGCCTTTTCTTTCGATATGGTACTGAGTTGGAGAAGCTTAAGGGGTGATACAACTGTTGGCTGGATGTTAGGATTCGTTTGGATGTTGAATAGCTTTATAGGGTTTGTTGTCGTCTTGCATTGATTCTTCTTCCATGGAACTGACACAAAGAACAGAGTTATCTCCCTCCTCCTTCTTGTTTCGCGCTCCAAACTTATCCCTGATTTCGCTATAACCATTCATTTCCTGCATCTCCTAATCACGTCCTTTTATTCGCACTCCGTCCCCCGCAATTGGCTTTGGTGGGCTTTACAATTCGCATCTGCGTCTCTCATGACCTTTTTAGGCATATGGAGTTGTCAATGGCGAGAATTGCGCCCTATAAATTTTGGCACGAATTCGAATACGGCTCAGAATAATACGAATACTGTTACAGATAGCACTGGTATGGAGAGAGATATTAGTGCCGGAATGGAAGGAGAAGACGACGCTACAAAGGATATAGAACAAGGATATGGAAGAGGGAGAGGAAGGGGCAGAGGAAGAGATGGGGCTGGAGATTATGAGATGGTTGGTATGGGAGCAAAGGCAGATGAGAATATCAACCCTGGTTGAAGAATAGAGAAGAGCGTGCTATCGGTTTGTCGTTTGGATCTGGACTTGGGCGCATAGACAGGAAGCAGATATACGGAGGCGTTTTGGAACTCGGCATTAAAGATTTACTGTTATTGGTGCACAGCGGCAGAATAGGTACTGCATTGTAACAAAAGAATATAAAGATACCCCAGGCAGGTTCAATGGTTTATTATTCCAATTTTGTACTTTTTTCCTTTTGCCCCCCAATTTGTTTGTTCAATTTGATTATTGATCACGATTTAGGAATCACCAACTGTCTTTGAATCTTACAAGTATGTCCTTTCCCTTCGTTTTCCCATATTGTCGACTGGGCCATCCCAAAATTCCTTTCCAGGACCCACCGGCCTTCCATCAAGTTCGATGCCGTCGCTACCGGGTCTAAATATCTGAGTTCCACTGGAGTTCGCCCTTGCCAAATGAATCCCTTGAATTTCGTTCCCTTCATCACATTTCAAGGTCCCGTCGTCATTGAAGTCCTCTGGAGTGCATACTTCTGATAATAGACTTGTTCGTCTTCCCCGACATGAACCGGCTATTGGCTCTAAAGGTGGCTGAGAGCTTGATCTCGATTGAATAAACATTGCTCCTGCAGCAAGTTCTGTCCTTATCATATTTGGTGAAACATAGCCACCTGTGTCCTTGAATGAATCGGGTGGAATCATGACATGTTCTGGTTGACGCGCATCAGCTAGAAAAGATCGTGACGGCTGCCATAGTATCTGCTACCTTAAAGAAAGGAGACATTGGCCTTAAACCTGGTAGTGAAGGGGCCATAGGTGTCGCAGGAGGCGTTGTGGGGATCGTAAAAGGTGTCAAGGGAGTCATTGGATCCATTGGGCTCAGTGGCGTCAGTGGTGTCATCGCACCGCTTCTTGGAGTGTTGTAGTGCGGGCTATCATCACCACCAGCACTATGAATGTCACCCCTCTCTTGGGCCCGGCGCCTCCGTGCCCTTGCATCCGTGCTGAGTGCGGGACTTGTTGCATCACTTCCTGACTCTGATTCGTCATTTCTAGATCCTCTTCTTGGTAAGGAAGCCTGCAAGCTACCCCCAAATTGGCGCCTTATTGATTTCCATCTCTTTACTACGAGCTCCCTCGCGGGCTGCACGTATACCGGATGGGGCTCTGACCTGAGGACTGGCCATAAACGATAATTGGTCCTTTGTGGTAGAGTTGGCCGTACTCCTCGATATATCTTCGAGGTATCGATATTCGCATAATCAGCCGGTATTGGTGGCATTACTTCTGGTAGATCTTTGACCATTGAATGCATAGGATTGTGTCTTCGGTTATCAGCTCCGGGCACGTGCATTGTTGTCGACATCTTCCCACATTCGATTGTATGCCCGTCCCTCAATTTCTGGCCCATCGACGTTCCAACTTTGCCACTGAATGTGGAATTGACGCTTGATGAATGATTGTTTCTATGGCTCCCAACAGTGCAATCACATGCCGATTGTTTTGAGATATTCAATGCTCTGTGGACTTTCTGTAATCTACTTCGTCTTCTTGCAGGTTCTGACGTGATACTCAACGGTGTAGCATCGCCACTGCATGGCGGTGACGACGAATACGTCGATGACCCGTCATACCCTCCGCAATCCCATGGGTGGATCGGAGATGCACTTCGTGCTTGATGTCCAAAGCAAGGTGAATATCGAAATTGGGTGTGCATACGCAAAGAACTTATCATCCTAGAATCTGGTAGTTTCGAGTCTCCTTTCCTGTGTATGATGTTGGAGTCGACGGAAGAGGTACAAGATAATCTGGCGCTAAAGTGAAACAAGCTGCGAGAAGTTGAACAGCAATCACTTTTGCAAGTTCTTGTACATCGCTGGAATCTGCAAAATTGGTATCGTCCATAGTGGCGTAACGTTTCTTTAGGTGCGGTCTGGAGTTGTCTGTAATATCTCTCATCCAAGCTCGTGTGCTGCGCTCTTCATGATTCTTTGGAGATAGCGTGGAGATACGACACATACGGGTACTTTTGAACTCAGGTGACCACCAGAACGGTCTACCAGTACGACAAACATATTGCCATTCATGTATTTCTTTGTTGATGATATCCCAAGAAACTTCCTCGGCCTCGCTGTCGAGATCAGAATCAATCTCGCTATCCCAATTTTGACCGAGAGTTGCAAGAGAGCTATTGCTCATGGTCGACAAAGTTCGACGTTGTGGTTTTGGGCGTTGGGGTCGCTTCGAATCTGCCATATATAGTACCTCACTATTTTCGGAGCTATTGTCTTTGGGGGGTTCTGCCTCAAGAGGATCTGCGAAGGATACGGACTTTCTAAAGTTTCTTGTGAGAGATGCTCGGCGGGCTCGTCGGAAGAAGTTAGAAGCAAAGGATGAGCTGGAGGGTGCGGCGGCCTTGCTGGAAAACTCATGCCGGGAGTAAGGAGAATCATTTTGCCAGCTCATTTTGATGTTGTTATAAGAATACAAGAAGGGGCGTGAAAAGATAGGTGTGTATAGGTTATGATATTTCTAGGTATTGGATCCGATGATACGGATTTTAAATTTGGGAAAACGGAGTCTCGGGTAGGGAATCATACCGTTCGGCAACCCCGAGAAATAAAGCGTCAACATCTATAAGAAATGGAAAGAGCTGCGGATGTATAGCGTTGGCACGAATGCACCTTCTTTATCCCAGACTGGTAAGTTTGTATTTCGAGCTGGCAGGCAAAACTATAGCCCCAACTACACCACTTCCGTTTATGATAGTTGCCATATCTCTAGCACCACTTACCTACATGTTTCATCAATTTTCACATGCGAATGACAAAAGTTACTCCTTCACATCAAAGCATTCATCTCACATAAAGCTCACTGCGATATCACGTGTGAAATTTACCCCACTTACCATGCCCACACTTGTTAATCTTCCATTCTTGTTTCCATGATCAACCTACCTAGTAGTTTGCACATGCAACATATTACAACCGAAGAAGCTTAAAGTGACACTATTCGTCACCGACCTCCCACCATGGGTATTTGTGCATTGTGTCTTGCCATTCCTGTACAGCCGATTCTCAATAAAGGTTTTGAGGAATTTTCATATGTTCATCATCTTTCAGTGAAAGGTCTCGAGATATCCGCAACAAACTGTCACATATGTGCCCTATTCCATAGTGCTATTGCTTCCACTCCATCTGGTAACGAAGGGCAGAAGACTTATTTGAAGATCGACCGAAAGCAAGGGGCTTCTACCCCTCTTAGAAATCCTATTTCCTACCAAGTGGGAAGGGATGGGCAGTCTTATATGTTTGATGTAGAAACTACGGGTATGAGGAATTCTTTTTAATATCAGTCGATCTCGTTCTCTGTTAGGGGTTCCTCGCGCACAAATCTCACATCTCTCAGACGACTTGAATTCCAGCCTTTTGTTCCCCAGAAATCAGAACATTACCTCTATCATATCATCATGGATCAAAACCTGTATTAATGAGCATGTAAACTGTAATATACATTACGATACAAGATTTCGGCCTCGTCGGCTCATTGATGTTGGAAAGTATGGCACACCACCTCGACTAGTGGAGACGCAGCAAAACGATGATCGTTATACAAAGTACCTTGCGTTGACACATTGTTGGGGAAAGGAAATGCCAGAGGCTGCAACAACAAAAACCAGCACACTTGAGCGGCGCTTGCTCTCCATCCCTTTCAAGACGCTACCTCGAACGTTTCGCGATGCGATCACTATTACCAGACGTCTCGGACTACAATATCTATGGATTGATTCTTTGTGCATTGTTCAAAACTCTCTGCAGGATTGGCAACAAGAATCAGCTAAGATGGGGAAAATCTACTCCCATGCATATTGCACGATTGCAGCAGCGGCAGCAACCAACTGTGAAGGGGGCCTCTTTGCATTACATAGCGAGCTACCATTGCTTCCTCAAGCTCTTAATCAACCTGGAATTCTTTTCAAGACTCCTTATCCCGGATGGGACAATCTTTATAACAAAAAGTACACTGATCCAAAGAAGCTGGACCCTACAGGAGCGTGAACTTTCACCCAGAATTTTACACTTCACTAAACACACCTTGCTTTTTGAGTGCCGAGAGGCTCGAATATCCGATCATAACCATGGATTGAATAGCAATAAATGGGCTTTGAAATCTAGTCTTTCACGATATGTCTTGAACTCAAGTGTGAGGTGTCTCGACAAGATCCACGAGGGTAGCCCGCACCACGATATGGTAACTGAAAAGTATTATGAACTGTGGCGAAAGATGGTGCAGGATTATAACAACCGTAAACTCACGCATCGTTCCGACAAGTTCCCGGCGCTTTCTGGTCTCGCTCTCGAATTCGCGTATCTTCTGAATGATGAATATGTAGCCGGGTTATGGAAAAAGGACATTGTCAGAGGCTTGTGTTGGAAATGGTTGTCAAATCGTGCGAGGCAACAAAGTACGCATAATTATGAACCATCATGGTCTTGGGCCAAGATGAATGTCCCGATAACATATGGCCTCCTAAGAGAAGACCGGGTCTTCGAATCGAGGGTCAACAGAGGACAATTTGTCCATGTACCAGTAGATTCACGAATTGTTGATCCGGAAATTTTACACATTAGTATTGTTCCTGAAGGGGAAGACCCTCGTGGAACTCTTATCTCCGGGAGAATATATCTTCGCGGCCAATTGCTTCAATTACAACGGTCTAAAACTGGTGACTATTCTGTAGATGTCGAATCATTACGAATTATATTTGATCATTTACCTCAACCACCGGTAGACCTTTATTTAATGAGCTTGGGGCGAACAAATGTAGGGATAGTTCTACAGGTATTTGAACAAAGTAGCAAGGAATACAGTCGAGTAGGGGTAATTGCTCCTACGGAATGGGAATGGTTCAAAGATATCAAGTTCGAAAATATAACACTTGTCTGAATTTTCGAAAAGATGCCGTCCTTGATCAGCGGTTCTTTGGCAAGAAGTCCAAGACCATGGGCCCTAGGTATTGATCGAATAGTGTGGTCAACATCACAGGAAGATCTAGCAAGTGAGGAGATTCAAGAGGATAAATCTTTGAAGCCGCAGGAACAACCACATGAGTGGAATTTTGGTGTTATCAAGATGCCGAGTTTTCCTCGGTTTGAATTCTAAGAGCAGAGCAGAACATGAATGAGAGGCAGGCCAAATCACAGTACAATCACAACCTTCACAAAGAAAAAGAGCAAATCTACGGAGAGGTTCTGCATATCTAATATTCAAAGAATGAATCTTTCACCACGGCCCCATTATTAGGTCAGATCATCAGATGAAACTGCCCAAACTCGTGCCACAGCACACAATCTATCGAATTCTGAGCTATTACTCTTTCGCATAGCTCATCTACATTACCAACTTTGCTCTCATATTCAGATTCTTATCACCCGGTAACGGTCAACATCAATGGTCAACAGGAAGCAGGCACTTTTGCCATGTTAGAGATTTTTCGAAGGAATGTGGGATATGAAGACAATAGAATGGAGTGACAAGATGTATTGTTTCGATATGGACTAGTACTTAGGCTATGGAAAGACCCGTTAGAGACTGAGTTATGGAATAGGGAGGAAAGATGAGGAGATGAGAAGATGAATAAATCCACTTGAATCATTCTCGCTTTGTTATGTAATCTTACTTGAGACTTAATGTGATGACTAGATGAATCCGGTTGAATGAACCTTATGGAGTATTAACATCCGCAATCAATGTTCCTCTTTGGGATGGGATGGGATGGGATGTGATGGGATGGGATAAATAGATTTGTGTGATATGATATTTTCCTGTATACTGAAAGACAAGCCTCCCTCGGGCTTTGAGAATACATATAACCCATTGAATACACCCGCAACCTACATATAGTATAGTGGACCGTGTATATATACATAAATATACATCACCTACCTATCTACGAAAGACATACGAATCTCCTCTTATCCTCTCATTTCCCCTCTCGGGCATCGAGATCCCGTTGAAATCTATTTCATTCCCGACCGACCAATCTCCTATCCTACAACTTTCTTCAACCTCCCCTAACCTATTTCTCTTATCTCTATTGTTCCAAAATATACTCATTCCGTCTTACTCATTCCGTCCTTACTCATTCCGTCTTACCCTTTCCCCTCCTCCCTCTCTATCCAGATTCCAGACTTAATACCCCCCAAAACCTCCCTACTTTTTATATCCTCACCATCCACCTCCAATACCTCCCCCCTTTCACCCACTCACTCGGCCCCTCAACCTACGAATTACAATTTCTCGTGTTATCAATCCTATCCTATCCCTCTCCTCTCCAATTATCCCCCAACAAACAAAAACAAAAACAAAAATTAAAAAAAAGCGAACAATAAAGATGACGCGTCCTTACTAGGATCCCACTCAAACGAGTCGAACCCCCGGATCCCTCTTTTCTGTGTTTTGCTTTGCTTTTTGTTTTGTTTTTCTCTCTATATAAGTGATATGATATGATAATGCACAATGTGTGTATGGAATGGTGAGGCGTTTCTTGGAGTTTGGGAATTATATTGGATGGGTGGATGGGTGGTTATGGGTTGGGAGATTTTGGGGGATGGGTGATGTGTGATGTGTGAAGTACTTTTTTGATGGATGGGATAAGATGGATTAGAATGGTGAGGGAATGCAGATAGATTTTCGAGGTATAGAGGGTTTGAGTTATTAAGTTTGTTGAGATGTTTATTTGGGGTAGGGGATTTGGGGGGTGGATTGATATTGAGAGTTGAATATTGAAGGATGGGGATAGGAATGGATGATAAGATGATGAGTAATGGAGATGAATACCTAAGCAACAAAGAGAATATCTCGTATCTTGTATGTAGAAATTGATTTAAAATCTCATTTCCTGAGACTTTGATTTATCACTTGTAAATACTACCTACCTACCATATACATCTATGAAATAATTCTCCTATCACAAAGTTTGAGTAACTTTTCAAGCAGACAGTTTTATTGATGCATACGAGTACCTATCTACGTAGGTAATATCAGAAAATGTGGAAAAGATGGGCGCTGTACGACGTACAGACGAAATGCCAAGACGACAGGGAGAAGGGAAGATTTTTAGGTTTAAGTTTAAGGTTATTTTTTGGTGCTGGATGATGTGGTGATATGATATGTCATGTCATGTCATGTTCGTCTGTCTTATGAGAGTGAGGTGTGAGAATGAGAATGAATCTGGGCGATTATTGAGATGATAGTTATGGTTATTTGGTTAGTTGAATGTAGGTAGGTAGGTAGGTATATTGCACGACGTTGACTCTGTACCATGGTTATTAGTCATGTTTGAAGGAGGACGGCGAAGAAGAAGAAAGAAAGATGTATATCCATCTACCTAGTAGGTATCTATCTATTTGATCAACGTTATACATGTATGTATGTACCTACCTATGTATGCAATTCACTCTTCAGGAAAGGATCGGAGATCTCATCGAAAATGTATGGATGGTGGATGGATGTATTGAAGGAATCACGAAGATAATAAGCAAACAAGCATTCATTTGATCTCTCGTCTATTGACCCAACCTTCTTTCCTCCTAAACGGTGGCGCGAGATGAGAATCATGGGATGGATTCTGCAAAGATATCAATCATATCGTAAATTTCCCATCTCGACATCCCATCTCCATCTCCATCTGCATATCTCATCCCCACGAGCAGAAGCATCTATAAGCCGCAAGACATTCTATCTCTCGTAGCCTAGCCTCGTGCTCTTCCTCAAACAAGGGCCCAAGTATCACGCTGACGCCAAGCATCGCAATGCGAGCTTATACACATACCCATGCATCATGTACGATAGGTACCCTTTCGGACCAACAAATGCGATTCGTGCGCTCGGTACGATGGGTGTCGTGTCGAGGACGTCAGATGCAGATATGTTGCTGACAATTCTCCACCGCGACCCTGATTCTTGGGATTTGCGAATCGGTTTTAGGAGATGGGGTTTACGGTCTTTTGATGCTTGCTTATGATTGTGAATTTGTGAGGGTCTCCATGGAATTATGAGTGGGGAGTTTGGGATTGCTTACTGAGCCTGAACGTTCGACTAGTTGTTTGTGTTGTAAGCTAGAGGTAGGTTTACATGTTGCCTTTTGGGTGTTGAGAGTATGAGACCGAGGAGATGATGTTTCTGAGGGTTGTGTTGTGAAATTATGATTGTGGTTACCTAGGTAGCGATGATGACGATAAACCGATGAGAGTGACGAGATGATCAAGCAACCCCAACATGTCGAGCCATTAGCCCCATATCCCAATCCCGTATCTGAATCACAGCTAACATAGTAAACCCATATGCCACGCTGCCGCAAAGCAACTTCTCAATTGCGCATCCAATGCGTATATATTGGCGGCTGAACACCCATCATTACTCAAACAAGAAGCACCAAAGTCACTTCATTTCACGCCACACTGATCTGTATAATCTTGGCACTCACACCACCCAACAACAAGCAACAACAAACGGATCTCGACAGCCATCCAGAACCAAATAAGCTCATCGTCTCACTCACAGCCTTATCCCATTTCCTCCACCCATTCCATTCCCTTCTCTCACCGAAACTGTTTCTCTCATTTCGTATACACGAATGCAACTACCCGAGCCCCCGTACCGTAACACCACACACACACATACATACATCTCTGTCCGTCTCGTACTTACATGCAAATAAGAATCTAAGAGTAAGCTTAAGGTTCCCGGCTATCGCAAGATCTTTCCTATTCTAGTATCCATTACGACCTGAGCTAGGTACACGACCTAGTCGTCAATCAAGCATCCATCATGCATGCTCAATAAAAGTTTGATGTGACACCCTCGCTCGTGCGGCCGGGGAACCGGACATCGGGTTCGGATTGTTTATACGAATTGGCTGGATTGATTTGTCCACCTGTGTACAGACCTAGGTAGCATTCATCCTGTACATCCTGTACATCCTGTCCAAGAACCAACAGTTGCTACCTACCATCTACTATCTAGGTATCGTATCCTGCTCCTCACCGTCTCATTCATCAAATCTAGAACAGACTCCCCTCTCGCTATCCAAACTTTCCTGTTGCTTTACGGAGTACACTTATCTATCTACGAGTCTACCTACCTACCTACCTACCTACCTACCTACCTATACCAGACATCGACATACTTTTCCGTGTCTCGAGGGGAGATCTCGATGCATAAAAAGTGCCCAAATTAGATGGTGCGCGGCATCTTCGGAGAAAGTGTTTTTCACCGTTATTGAATAACAATTTACCAAGTTCCTAGTTGGGATCACCACGGAAAAAGCCAGTCGGTCATTCATTCTTTCATTCCTCCATTCGGAGTACATATCTACATACATCCAAACATACATAACCTGCCCATCTATCTCAAGCAAAAAAGAAATTCAGAAAGGAAGAAAGGATTTGGAATTTAATAATAATAATAATATAATAATAATCATTTAAAGTTTATGAGAGTTTACTAGCCCCTCCCCTTCCTCCAAGTAAATTAACCTTAAATCTTCTCATCTGCCACAGCGTGCCTTGGCATTTGCTTGGCCGTGGAAGTTCTCATGTGAAATTGGGAGAGCAATTTATATTGTTGTTCTCTTCGTATGTGGATGGAGGTATACGAAGCATGGAGAGGAAATCAAATATGCTTGGCGCATTCATAAGGGATAATGTGATCAAAGAGGGTTTAATATTGGCAGAGGAGGCTGTGTAGGACGGGCGTTGATTACAGAACGGTGATTTGTGATTATCGCGTGGGAAGTAAGTTTTGGGGACGAGTTTGGTGTCATGCTATGGATGCTGTACGAGAGGTGGTTCTTGGGTTTGCTTGGTGCAGAGGCAATATGGGTTGATGGGTGATGGAATGAGGAGATTCTAGATCTTGGACTGATTGCCACTGTGAAGGTTGGCTTGCTTGGTGAGGATAGCAGCATGTGTGTATGCATGGACGAAGTATACCGAGGGATGTATACGAATGAATATAGATGTGTATGTGCGCAAAACTAAGCATCAATCCGTCCGTTCGCTATTTACCCTCATGGGCCTCATCTAATCACCACCACTGACACCAATATCCATATCCATATCCATGATACGAGCACATCATACATACCAACATCGCTCCCC